ATATATATATATGTGTGTGTGTGTGTGTGTGTGTGTGTATTTGTTTAGGCCTATACATAAAACATTACTATTTTGATTTAAACATATTTCTCTGCTTTTCTTCAGTTACAAGAGATGTATATAATTATTTAATTTTAATTTAAAATTTAAACAAGCCTGTTATTGCAACGACTGCTCAGTTCGAACCCAAATCCCTGAAAAAAATTCTGGTGGAATCGAACGCATGACCATAAAGTTAACTAGTCTGGTGTCATACCACATTCTGGTGGGGCGGATCCAGGATTTGAAAGAGGGGATTCATTTTCCCATAAACCCAAAAATAAAAGAGGGCCCGGGGGTCCCCGGGAAAAGTTTGAGTCCTGGATGACCGGAAATCAACATTATTGAGTAGTTGGATACGTAGTCTTTCTTCCATAGATTAATGAACTGATAGGCCTGAAGAACACATTTCGTACATAAATTATTACGACGTCGAGCCAAAACTGTTTTTAATTGTATTTAATTGAATGCTAGTTGTTCTAAGTCTATTTTGTCTGATCTGCCAACCTATGCCTAGGTAGGTTACATAGTTACCAACCTTAAATAATTGAAATACGTGATTTCAAACGCGGGCCGGCGGCCATCAGAGCCCCCGCCGGGGTCCAGGGTCGGGGCCTCGGTGGGGTTCTGGGGGGGGGGGCGATAACCACTGGGCGTTTAAGCTGTTTTTAGGGAGTGTTCATTGACAATATCAGCTACATAAACAAAAATATTTTTAATAAAGCCACGTACAATTAGAGTTTCAATGCATGTTTAATTTGAGCACCCGAATTATGTACACAAACATTCATTACTCACAAACATGCGGTGTTGAACCTTTCCTAACATTCGACACTCTTTCTACCCCTCCTGTTATACTCCTACACCCCTGATTCTTAATTAATTTGTTTAGAGGGCCAACATTTATTTTCAGTTGGACTCTGAGTTGGACTCACGGGAAAAAAGATAAAGGGCCTATCTGAGTACCGGTAATTAAGCAAGTCGTTATGCGTTTTGTAATTTCAAATTCTACTTTTTGTTACAATATATTGTAACAAGTTCTGTAACTTTAAGCAAAGAATACGTACACAATTATCAATATTCTGTTCACATCCTAGTTGGTTAAAACAATAAGAAATTGCATTCGGTGTATAATAAATGTTAGTAATATAAACTTTAAAAATATATATAATACGCATACTTTATAAAACATAAATTGACCTAATTTTCTGATAGATAAACAAATTAAATAAAATTAATTAAATGAAATATATTTAATGATATAGGCGTAATTGCTACCATGAACCGTAACACATATCGGTAATTTAAAATAAAAGTAGGCGTATCGTAGAAGAGAATCACTAATGAGCATTGACCTCAAAAGTACTGTAGAAGTACAGAAATAATACTTCCGCTACTTGCCGGGGTGTTTTTTGTGGATGCAGAGAAATATGGGTATATAGGTGTGATATCGAAATTCGAAAAGAGGAAACATGTTATAAAGATATCCTGTTTTCTTTCCTCTATTTCTTATGTAAACCCGGATTTAAACTTTCAAATCTTTTCTACAATGTGTATTTATGCTTCATCAATACTGTATTGCGAATGCCTCAATAGTCAATTAGTCAATTGATTGAATAACGCTTTTGTATCATCGGCACACCTTTTTAGTGTAACCTTACAACGACTAGACAATTGTTAATTGATATAGAGAAAACACAAAATAAAAAAAAAAGGTTCTCTCTTTTATAGAGTATAATGAAGATAACCTTATGGAAAAAATCAATACAAAACTAGGAGGAACAATGCATCGAAAAAATGGGGGGAAATAGCCTGGGGAATAACTCTCTAGGTAGAAAAAAATCCGTAGGGAAAATTAGCAGGTGGCAAGTAGCCACCGTAATAGTGCTATATTCTGTAAAGTGAAACCTTAAACAACTTTGATTTTAAGTCTACTAAATTTAAAAATCTTCCCAGGCTTTTCCAGATATAGCTAGAAGTAACTTAATCTTTGGAGTTTTTTGATAGCAGATGATTTTTTTTTTCGATTTCAGTGGGTTAACCCGACTCAAAGACAAGCTTGCATACAAACATAGCATGCACATTCATCCTCTATACAATAGGAGCCATGTTCACACGCATGATCTTTTTAAAATTACAAAATCAAAATTTTGAAAACACTTTTTTTTTGGATGAAGTTGAAACTAATACAAAAATAAATTCTTTTGTATTTAAAATATTTTTTTTTTAAATGAATTAAGAAACATTAGAAAATTCAAGATTAAATACTAGGACCCAATAGTATTTTGTTACGTTTCTTCACAGAGGGGGTTCGTCCGAACCCCTTGAACCCCCCGAATACCACTAGAACACTGAGCTTTAGTAAGTAATTGCCGAGCCACGTTGCTCATAGGGCTTATTCCCAGTTCCTGTAGCGTGAAGCGGATGAGTGTGTGGTACTACTCCTGGGTGGGAGTTGGTCCAACACCGGCTGCTCCCACTAATTTGCTGGTACCCATTGCAAAAGCTGGGTAGACTGAAGCAATGTAAATAAGGGGCCTTGCCCAATGACACAAGTAAAATGCACAGCGATGGATTGGAACCAAACCTGGAGGAGGCTGGGGAAAGAAACTATTTCCACTGTTCCAAAACGCTTCCAAACTGAGCTCTAGTGGCTACTGTAGGGTTAACATAATGATGTTTTACCCAAATTAGGGATCTTGAAATTTGATCTTATATTATGGTTCTTTTGCAAACTTGTGCCCATCCGAGACAAACGCTTTATCAATTTAGGCTGAATTTCCGTACAATGCAACACAATTTTTACGATTTTTTTTTTTGAATGACCAATTACGAATAATCTGTATCTGGTCGGCAGTACGAATAGCGGATTGTTAGAACACTAATAACGTACATACTTCAATGTTTTTAATTAAATTGACCCCACTGCCGCGGCCTATATATAGATAAACTTTAATGAACTTTCAAAGAAAAATATTAAGAAACTTCTCAACAGCTTCCTCATACGAAAAAAGGTTAAAGCTTTTGAGCTAAATTGAATGTCAGTGTTAAATGAATGGACTTTACAGTATCACTAGTATGCCAAGCTGTGTAGGGGCTCCTCTTAAAAAAAAAGAAGCAATGTACCCGTAAGTCAACCACAAGTGCACAATTTTATAGACTTCAACTTGTCATTGGATTTAAGTATCCTATATCCATTTATTTCCACATCAATATCAATACATAAAATTTCGCCGCTAAACACCATGAGCTTTAGGGCTACTGCATGTCAACTTACGTGCAAAAAAAATCCCCATTTCAAAACCCCCCTTTCCCCCCCCCCCCCCCCCCCCCCCCTAAAAAAAATAATAACAATATCAATAATAATAACAATAAAATTAACAATAATAATAATAATAATAATGATAATATTTTGATCAGTTGAAAACTAAAAAAATTACCATTCCAAAGCCAAAAGGTTGAATCTAGGCAAAAGTTAAAGGTAAAGTTAGGAGAACAACAAATAAATCGAAGCATCATTGTGCTGAATTCTGTCGTGCCGTGGACTGTGACCTCTACCGCCGTAAAGAAGCGCTTTAGGGCCTAGTATCTACAGATTCAAATCATTCCACGACATAGGCTTAAATGAACCACAAAATCGAAGTAACCCTTACTCTTCCAAAAGATGCAATGCGTTCTTTAAAGTGCACACGAGCTAGAGGTGTACACTGGATCTTCTTGTTCGAGAAGACCCGGTTCTACCAACCGAAACCTGGACGAGGGGTGACCCAGCGCCGATGTAGCTAGCGGCTCCCCTGCCTTACCGCTCGGCCATTCGACTGGCAAATCTGCCAATACTGGGACCTGGTTTTGAAGGGAATTCGTTTCAGTTAATGGTTCGATCACTCGTTTATAGCAACTCTACTCTATCCTGAAGTCCAAAATAGGAATACTTTTAGCAATGATCCTGAACCATTTTACATTATGGTTCCAAAACATATATTTTTAATTTTCACTGAGAAGCTATTATCTGCACGATAGTACTACTTTAGCTGCTAAACGTTAATTTGTTAATTCCTTATGCGGTTTCATCCCGTGTTTTATGTTTTGCCAAAAAGTATTGAGGAGATATGACAGCTAAAGAAATCGTTTAATACTTTAAGAGCATGATGAAAGTTTTAAGTATTGGACATTGTTTTGACCTGTTTAGGTTCACCGATAAATCACGCCAGTATGCGATCATGTCCGCCATTTTGAGTGACGTGATAGAAAAAAGCACGATGACTTCTGTTTGTTTATCAACTGTACGGAAAATATTTTCTGTGACACTGATGAAAGATATGATTCGAACATACGATTAATAGCAACAGTATGGCTTGGTATATCTACGTATATAGCCAAAATTTATTTTAACAGGGACGAGATATAACGTATATGTGATTCAATTTAATGATTATTTAACTAGGGCAGTTTAGCACAGATGAATTGCGTTACAATTTGACAGTTCCAAACCCAATTTAAATTGAGTAAAATGATGAAGATGATAATGATGATGACGATGATGATAATGATGATGATGTTCATGGTGGTACTGGTGATTGTAACTGATGATGATGATGATGATGATGATCATGATGATAAAGATAATAATAAGGGTAATAATAATTATAACGTTGACAATAATAATTAATAATAATAATAATAATAATAATAATAATAATAATAATAATAATATAAAAAGAAGAATTACAATACGCATAAGAACAGTACTTTTGAAGAAATACAACCACAATACTGTATTAACTACTTATAATATATTTGAATTTTTATTGTTATCTAATTACGTGCTTTAGTCATATGTTCAGTATTTTTGAAATATATTTTATATATTATTGTATTTTTAGCCTTGCAATGAATTGTGTGCCACCTAGTGTTTCCATTTTGGACAATAAATGAAATCTTGAATCTAGAACCAAAGTTTCTGGCTTACCGTGTCTAAGATCAAAGACGTTGTCTTCGTCTTGCTCGAGTTGAGTAATTTTGTGAGGCGTACCTTCTTCACTGTTTTCCCTATCTCGTCTTTCGGGTTCGATAATATATTCTGCACCTTGATATTTGAATATGCCATTCTGAAACAAAGTGTGTGAGACTGATTCTCGAGACATCGGGAATTGTTAGGAAAATGATTAAAAATGACATATTAAAGAAAAGGAAGAGACGATAACGGCAAAGACCACGATGATGACGAAGACGATTATGATCATAAGTATGCTTATACTTGTAGTCATTTGGTAAAAAAGAGCTCATAGACACATTGCACTGTATTTATGTGCTAGTCAAGGCACTAGATATTATGATGGATGACGGCGATACAAATTCCGAAGAAACTTTATTGCCTGTTATAGATAATAATATGAAAACAGAAAATCGAATTTCTCGGCGAAATTCGAAAAGTCAAAAGAAATTTACAGATGACAGTGATGGCAATATGATGATGATGATAATGATGATGGTGATGATGATGATGATGATTATGATAATGATGACGACGACGACGACAATGACGATGATATTCATTATGATCCTTAACATCAAAGCACAAACGTCAAACCATAGCGTACTTTTCTTATATCGATGAATTCCTTCTGTTTAACTACAAAAAATTATCTTCACAACTTTGAGTGTTCAAATTTAACTTCTTCCCCAATCCGACGCTGCGATCGTTTCCGATGCGTTTACATGCTAACGCTGATAAGAAAGCGTCAGCTGGCTTTTTATAATGACCAGCGCAATGCATTCCTGTTCTGTGTTTCCACGGAGAATGGACATAGTAATAATTGTCATCGTGCACGTAAAGGACTTTTGAAAGTGTTAGATAGAGTTCAAATACTTAATAGCGTTGGGAAATTAAACACAGTTTTGACAATATGAGTCATTAACTAATCAATAATTTTATTACACACTTGACAATCGTTGCATATTTAGGACAATGCTATTAAACTTTTAATCATCGCATTTATGTTTAATTCTGAATTGTATATTATTTATAAATATACTGTTTTATACTTTGTGTGTAGAAAAAAATAGACAAATTATTTTGTTATTATCACTATTGATAATAATATTATTACTGTTTAATAATACTCTTTTGTAATAATAATTAAATTAATAATAATAATAATAATTATTATTATTATTACGATTATTATTATTATTATTATGCAAATTTATTTAGAAACAACATACACTTACCATTCCATCACATGTACTTATGGCAGCTTCAGATAAAGCGTCGCTTACAATACTGCCAATATAAAAGCATTGTTTTTCATGTGATGCGCGAACGTTCACAATTCCATCCTCAGTTGCTGTCTCCACTGAGAACGCCGGGCCGAGTATGTGCTCATTTTTGGTCAAATTTAGGACCAGGATGACACCTTCAAAATTAAGCCCAAAGTACTTTCGTTCGTCTTGTTGTGGCACTGCATTTCGTCGCATTCGGTTGAAGTCTTGCTGGATCTCATCAGCCTCGTTATATAATTCGAAAGATACAAACGTTCCATCCTGGGTGGAGACAAACGGGCGGACTATATGTGTACCACCTAGATCTACAAAAGAGATTTACAAGACATCATAACTGGTATGAAGAGACACTCCCAGTGATACAGTATAAATATGATATAAACTATAATGAGAATAGGCCTAATAAACAATATTTTGGTAGACCATCACTAAATTATACATCTTGGTTAAAGGTAGGCTTTGAGTCTGAGGCTAGTTACACTGTACTTTTTCATGTTCTTGGGCAATAAGACACAATTTCGTAACAGTCAGCCCCAACTATGATGGAGGTCGGGTGTTGCAGACCTGGATTGTAAAGTCCCTTCCTGGGGCTCCTCTATTTCAAAGTTTTGGATGCACCACTTGTTGTTTATGTACGCTAACGGAATGACCAGTGTAATGCGTTTTTAACTCTTTATATTTTAATATGGTACCCATTAGAAATTAAACGATTTGTATATGTATAATATATATATATATATATATATATATATATATACATATATATATATATTATGTATATATATATTACTATATATATATAAATATTTTTAAGTTTTTAAATTCAACACAGCAATAATGATATTGATTCTTTATTATTGTGTCCTGCAAAAAATTGTGTCGTTTAAAATGAAAACACAATTATTATATGTCCGTGTTTAAGAACATTTATGTCGTATGACATCTTCACCATTGATTCGTAGGTAAAATACCACGCCGGCTCATCGACTCCATCAAAGCACTTGGATTAAATATAACTGGTAATATCCAAATAATAAAATGTGGTACAGTTTTATCCACTATCTTTTTGAAGATTGACCACAATGCTACAAACACAAACAACTTGTCAGTATAACAATCTTGTACATTAAAGCTACCCTTACTTGCCCATGTGTCTCGACCAACAACGAGCGTGATTACGGGATTACAAATCTGTCTATCCCTCCTCTGTCTCGATAAACCCGGCGTGGGCTTAAAACGGAAAATTTGACTCTACCAATTAAACTAAATCCACAGGGGAATAGTTTGTTCAATTCTTAATAATACCTATCTGAACGGTTTCTATATAAATCGGTACTGACCGCTATAACTTTGACTTCCGGGTAGCTGTCAAATTCTGGTTTGGTAATTAGTATGATCATTGCTAATTGATGATGAGACCCCCAAGTTGAAATTGACCTTTAGCTTAAATCAGTTGCTTGTCAGAGATAGCTTGTAATGAATGCAATGCCTATTTAAACATAATTAATGCAGACCGACTTTACGCTATCTACGAATCGCATTGATTACTAATTGATCACAGTTATCATAATTGAATTAATTTATCATAAATAATTCAATTATTACTAGAATTCAATCATTGCTAAGAATTCAAATACATATAGGTTTTTGTGCATGTATTATTTTGCTGAGCTGATGGCATTGCGATACAGGCCTAACAGGAGTGTGTTCACGACCACTCATAAAAATGGAAAGTTTCTTCTCCTTCCTCAAATTCTCGATACGTTTACTTATGTCGAGGATAAACATTCTTAATAAATTTTGAATATGCCATGAGATAAGTTACCAAAATATGATTTCCGATGTTATGTTTGGTCATGAGGCCCTCCTAAGGATGACAAGGTCCAGAACATGGCTCGAACTTCGCCATTATAGTGGAGACCTACTGTGGACCCCGTAGTGCGGATGTATCTACCACGCGTACCGTAGCTTGCAACAAGGTTATGATATCCAAATGATATATAATATTGGTTAAGTTAAATCTATATCAGAGCCCCGTTCTTCATCCGAGATGTCTCTATTTAGGCGTCTTGTAGTTGTTTTGCAAAGACACATATTTCCGTTTGTAAATTAATCGAGAACTAAAGAAGATATATATTACAAGCGTGAATTTGTTAGTAGTTCTTGTAACTTAGTTATACAAATGATCATGCGTAATCTACAAGGCGACGTGCAGACTATTTGGCTATAACGGACTGTAAATGATAACGTAAATATACCGTTATAAGTCTAATTGCACGGGTGTTGCTCAGAATCTAGTTTCCTCAATGAAAAGTACAAGAGTCTGTAATTCGTTGAGTAGGAGGGGGGCCCGTTCATGAATGATAGCGTAAAATACCGCTATATATAATAATTACCTAGAATTTGCTTATAGTTTCGTCATTGAAGGTATGGTACAAGAATAAAAATATATTATTGTGGGAAGGAAATCTACCTAGGATGTTTTGGAAAATATTTCGTTGACCGACCGTCAGTTAGTGAGTTGTAGTCTCAGTGATAGTATTGTATACCACCAGGCTTAAACATTGCCGACAGGGAGTAAAATCTATCTCACAAGGGGTCCAAACCAGAGAGCCACCTAAAGCATTGGTCTGGGCCCGGAACAAAATCCCTGATGGTGTTCATGAGAAAAGCTTGCATGGTGTATAGTGGTCCAAATTGTGATTTAAGACCAGGATATCAGGGATTGGTAACTTTGTTTTGAACGGCTAATTAATGTTTTAGTCCGAGGACTTCACCATGTTGTCGGGTCCATTCTTATCCGACGGGGAGAGGAGGTCATTTTCCCCTAGACCCTTAAAGTATAGGATTAGTATTGCTTACTACGAGAAGGGCCCGCCAACTTGGAACACGGTGCAGTGACAATAATGGCACTCGTGTTGGTCCATTGGCAACCAAGAGTTCTCCTATAATATTGCAGGAATTAACACTTTCAAGATTTATTATTTCCTTAAGTTCAAAATAATATTTAGAAATGTGGGAAGTCAATGGCCTTTAACATCCGTAGTATTTATTTCGACAGTTATGGTCATAAATAAAAATTAATCCGAAATGTAATAAATATTCACACAGCAACAGCTTCAATGGTAACAACACGGCCTCTTCGCACTTAGGATTCCCACTATAACATAAAAGTACAAGCTGAGATATAAGCCGTGGGCTCAGAGAAGAGGCGAAAGTGGTTGTGTGGTCAGCTCGGATCGAGCTGGCTTTAAAAAAAAAACAAAAAAAAACCCGCAACTCCGTCCGCAAGAAAAAAAAAAAAATCTGTGTAATCTACAGTTTGTCGGACATAATACAAGCCTTTAAAATTCCTAGACTCCCCACCTCCACCTCTGGACCGCTTATGGGCAGTCCCTGAGCTATAACCAATTTAGTTAATTTCTTTATTCTGCTCGGTGGTCTAATGGTTATGACACCAGGATAGTTATCTGGAGTTCGTTGGTTCAATTATCACCCGAAAGTATTTAGGAACATACTGAATATTTAGTACGATAACACATCAGGTGGGGCAAAACACCACTCCTATAATATTGAAACAGTGTTTACATTTATATTTTTGAAAATGTGTTTACTTTTCCGGTGAAGGAAAATTATCGTGTGAAAATATTAAGCATGCCAATAAAGGGAAGTGGTGGTTCCTGTTGCATGTACCTGTTTAATGGACCGCTGAGTATTCTCTTAACGATAAAAAAGAAAATCGTGATAGTATCATACTCTTTACACTTTAAAAAAAAATAAGAACCAGTAACATTTTTGCCCAGGTTTATTTTTTGGCCTATTTCAGGCTCAAAATGTTCTTATTTTGTTCTTATTTTACATACTTTTCAAACATAGAAAATTATTATTGTACAGCAGTATACACTGCACTGTAATGTAGGTAAAAGTGGCCCCAGGAATAAATGGCCCCTGAAAAATATCCCCCCAGAAAAAAGGCCCCTGTAAAAATGACCCCAAACGACAGGTAGCACACCTACCGCTACTGTACTGTAGAGAGGGTATTACATAGTCTTTTGCACATAAAGTACAGATATGATTTATGGCTTTTCTACTTTTTCTCTAAAAAAATCATTTGACATTTTACCTATGAGCTTCAATTTGTTCTTATTTTGTTCTTAATTTTTAAGCAATTTCAGCCTTGGTGTTCTTATAAAAAAAAATGTATTGGGCCACTGAAATTTACAAATAAAACAAGAAAACGAAAACCTGAGAGAGAGCAACAGCCAATCATGTCACCACATGGCATTGACATACTAAACACGATGTAAGGGAGTTTGATGGGAAGAACGCCTCTTCCCATTAATCTCTAATTCCAACATCAATTGAATTATTTAATTAAATATGGAAGCGGTTGAAAACTTGGAAAGTGTGTATTTCAAAGGCAAATCCTAAGACTACTAGTAATCGGAATGGAGTTCAGTAGACTTTAGTCTCCATTTATCAACACCCTGCTTATGCCATTCAACTGGCAAATTATCAGGGATACATATAATTAGGCATATCTAAAGTTGTTAATCATCCAAGGCTAAAAGGTGAAATATTATGAATTTCTCGCGCGTATAATTATTTTATGTGCTTAAATCGCCGAATAATCATATCCTTGGTCTGGATTATTATTGGTCTAGCGTAATTTTGAGCCTGTAGCAGCTCACTCAAATAAGTAGGGTTAATGACTATAATATTACGTTTGTAAAGCCAGCAAAAATATTCAAAAAATTACATGCACTAATTAAAATAATTAGCTTTAGTAGTTTTAACTGTGCATTAATCGCTTGGCAGTACGTCAAATAATATAATGAAACGCTCAAGAAGCTTACTAATCTCTTATTCACTTGTGAACGCGTGTACATGGTGCCTTTTCACTGATCATCAAAACTCATGCGCGGAATAAAAATGTACTTACCTTGATTTTCAGTTTGACTTCCATATACCGAAAGTACCTGAAAAAATGAAAATAATTATCGTAATACTATTTGGCGATTTACATTAATGGAGCTGGTTGCTCAAATTTATTGTTGATATATTTTATATTAGTTGATGTTAATAATATTATCTCTACACAGATCCTGTCTTCAGTGGCGTAACACAAAGGTTCGACGTTTTTTTACACGTTAGTGCTCCTTAAAGAGGCCCTGCTCTGCCAATGTGTGGGACTCACATCTTGGGTTTTTACAGGCGACTCTTTTAAGGCCAACTCAGACAGCGTCGGCCGACGCAGCCCGATGCGATTTGTTGTCGCGTCGGGTCTGTGTGAGTTGAACGCAGACGCGATGGTGTGCGTCGGGGGCAGTCGCGTAGTAGAATATTAAACGTGTTTAATATTTCTCACGACGGCTTAAGACTGTCCCCGACGATAAATCGGGTCGGGCTGCGTCGGCCGACGCTGTCTGAGCCTCTAAAAAGCCCAACATAGATCCCTATTCTCTACTACTTGGAAGCATTCTCTTAAAAGCTCACAATTACATGCAAACCCTGGATTCCGTTTCAAATTTTTGATTCATAATCGTTAAAACGCAAGTGAACTAGAGTATGCACTGTAACGAGAATCATAATTTTGAACAATTTACCGAGCACGTTCTGAGCAAGACAATACGTCTTAAAAATTTTTAAAATATAGGCCTAATACATAATTATAGCGATACGCTATTCAATCTTACCATAAAAACTCCGCAGGCTGTATAATGATTCTAACTCACTTTGTATTTATTCACATGTAGTTGAGATGTAGTTTGACAAGTGCGTAATACGCCAACAGGTGATAATTTGAAAGTGCATACGTTTCAAATATAAGAACCCTACAGCATAGGTTTCCTATGTTAATAGGGAAGAAAGGGAGTCAACAAAAATAACCTTAAGAAGATTATTGGTTAAAACTAAGTTTTATCAGCAAAGGTATCGAAATAAAAGCGACAGTTATTCAATGAGTGTTACTCGAGAGTCCAATAAAATCCGTTATCAACTATTATAAAGCTGTCGTTATAAATTTAATAATACATGGCATCAATTTCAAATACTACTGGCCTATGTCCAGTAGTTCTCCAACAAATAGGCCTAAACTAAAATCAACGTCATGTGATCTCAGCAGGTTACACTACATTAGGCATAACACAGATGACTGCAGTCGGTCAAATGTCAAATCATGGCATACTGTTGTATGAAATTGACGAAAGTATCGACGAACTCACTGATTTTACTTCCTATAAACTCTGCCGCCCTGTGCCACAATTCGTTCTGTCAAGACAAAGATTTGATTTTCATGTTAAATTCAGTGTATTTGGCCCCTTTTAAGGAAGTTGGTTTAGATGGCCGCCACTTTAGAAACATACTATTACTTACAAAATCGTTTGCGCGTGGGGTCGGGGAGGGGGAAAATACACAAGAACTGAAAGGCTTGTGACACCGGCCTACATAATGAAACCCAATGGGGAATATATGGCTGTAATACTGTAACATCAAATTAAGTTTGTCCAATAGGAAATTACATCAAGAAAATCTCAAAACTATAAACCAGGTTTGTATAGTTGAACTTACGGTCGGTACTACTTATCATCAGATTAAAGATACCAGATGTGGAAGTCATTTCAAACTATAAAGCTTGATATCACGTTTATTGAGGCCAGTAGGCCTACTTAAAGTTCAAGTTTTGCTCACGTAGTTTTGGGAGTCGCCATTATAGAAAAAGATGAAAGACATTTAATGTCTTCCATGAAAACAAAACGGTTGATTTTAATTATCAAGTAACTTTGTGTATGGTCTGCATTGCACACTGTGATACCATGTCAATTTGGTGGGTCCGTATTTGCAAATGTTTTCTCAAATAATAATGTAATTAATAACATCAACACCGCAAACCTCGTTTTATGTACATGATGCACACTGAGATGACGTCAGAATGTTGCTGTACACGCCAGTGACGTAACTCGTGGAAACAGAGATTAAATGTATAGTGGCATAATATAGTATCAGCGGACAACTGGAACAATCTGACAACCCACCTAAAACGAAAGCCCACATACGTACGTTTAATTTAAACTTTAATGGTTGTTCGGGGCATTTGTTTATAACTTACTATGATAAAACAGCACACAATGCATCTATAGAAAACCTTTTTTCTCTTTTTAATGCTATTGATAAGTGGAATGCATTTACCTAGTGAGGTGCTATGACAATTATTGAAGTGTCCAAACTGGAAAAAAAAAACACCTAAGCCTTCACTATGCAAACAATGATAAGCCCTCTGCAGCAACCAATGATGGAAGAGAAAGTGGTCAAAGAAGTTAGCGGCTTATAAACTCGAATAATCAAGTTATAAAGTTGTTACAGATCTGGTTCGGTAATCGACAAAGTCACCAAGGAGGCATTACTTCAATGGAGTGTGTTAGCTGTTTGTATAGCTGTTCAATACAGTGTATTTATTTTATTTTGGTGTACTGCACTGTACTTTGAGGTTTATGGTAATTAAGTGCTCTTAACTGAACTTAACTCAGTGAAAAACATGTTTTCCGCTCAAATTCAATTCACTCTGTGATATACAGTACCTCTATCATGGTTTTAGGAATACATTTTGCAAGTACTTCATATTAAATCTGACTTCAATTACCGTTAGTCCAAAGTACATCATTAAATAAGTTCAATGACACAGAGGGTCTACATAGAAGTAACAATCCCACTCGTTTACGTGATTCTTTTGCTAACGATTGCTTTGCCATTTTCGAAGGATTTGTTATTACCGAAATTACAACTAATCAAAGTGCAATATATCAATAAAATGTTTAAGCGATTCGCATTTGAGTTCTTAAGTGTATTATACAAATTTCTATTGAGAGCCTAGTATTTTGGGGGGTACATTTTAAAAACAGCGTGGAGGATTTATAATAATAATAATAATAATAATAATAATAATAATAATAATAATAATAATAATAATAATAATAATAATAGATGGATTTATATAGCGCAAATAAACGAAGTCTCTATGCGCTCGTTACTAGATGTTGCACTTTTCAATAACTTTTTCCACCCCTGAGGGTCAATTCATGTCCTCTGCAGCCAGTAAACCGGCGCACTTTCCTGTCCACGAGAGGGGCCGAATGAACCAGTACACCGGGGTAACCCCCTACTTATATCGAAAATGTACCGGTACTGGGTTCTTTAAAGTGCACATGAGCATTTGTGTACACTGGGCCTACTATAGTCCTTATCCGAGAAGACTTGTTCCACCACCAGAACTATAGGTGCGAGCTGGCCGCGAATCTGTGCCGATACGGTATTGTTGGCAATGATCACGGTGCCCCTGCCTTAACCGCTCGGCTGTTTGGCTCGCTCAAACGCAAAGCTCCACGCAATATTGTCCCGTTTTGGTGACACGTTTAAAAGCTAAACGTGTTTAGACATACCTTAATGTGCTTAGGAGCTTGGCGTGTTTAGAAATAAATGTATTTGACATCATAAATAGCCTACCTAAGCACATCTAATGATACACGTCAGCAACACATCAGGCCAGGCCTAAACACGTTTAGCTTTTGAACGTGTCACCAAAATACTGTATTGCTTGTAAATTAATAAGCCTATAATAACAGGAGGCTTGTAACAATAAATGGATTTTTTATTTTATTTAAACACATAATGCATGTGTTTAAATAAAATTAAACATCCATTTAATTTTATTTAAACACATAATGCATGAATACTACTAGCAAGATCTGTTGTAATTCCAATTCATTGTTAGCAACCATCAGTGAATCCAGACTTAAAATGGGGTTCAATTTTCAACCATTAGCCCTATGGAGACATAATGCTAGTGGTGTGCGTCTTAGTTACCGTAAATTAAAAGATGAATGTTTACATTTCAACAAACCATAGGAATTAATTTTTGCCCATAACCTATAATTGTGTGAACACATGAGATGACTATTTAAATAATTAGCTATTCCTTCGTCGAGACATAATTTCCATTCAATGCTGTATGACGTCAACGATCTAGCATAACATCAAGTGCCTAGCTTAGCTATCTTTTATCACTTTGTATCGAAGCTAGTGAAATGTACATAATATAGGCCTAATTGGATATTCCCAACTTGACGATACTCAAAAAATGTCTTGCAGTAAATAGTCAGACATCCCAATAGACTAATATGACTCGAATAAGCTTGATATTCTATATATACACATATTTAAAGGGAAAAATCTTTTGTGGGTTTTTTCTCCCTAATGATTATAAAAGAATGAGTTTTATACAGGGTTTATATTCTAAAATTTTTTTGATAGTTTTAAACAGTTACTTTTTTATGTAATTCAGATGGTCACAGCCAGGCTATTGATACTGTAGCTATAGATTAAGGCACTAAATGAATGCTGAACAGGTCACTCATGATTCACTGCAATGTAGTTACATTTATGATACAACGGACTATTGTGATAAAAAAAAAATAGCCGAATCATGTTGGCCACGTCGCCAGTACGTACCGTATCGGTAGATGGTAACGTACTCGTGGTCACTCACACCATCTCACATGCAGTACTGTATATGAGCGGTAAGATGCATTACTAGTAGGATATAACTTTCACCAGTATTAACAATAATTTATACAGATTTATACATTCCCTAATTGTTTTTATTATATGCGCATTGCCATGTGGTCCACAATGCTTAATAAACCTACGTTTTGTAGTTCCAACCGTGAATGCAGCATACTCAGGTACTCATACCCTGGATAGAGAATAAGCGTCTTAAGTAGGGCCTACACAGACAAATAGCAAAAAAAAATGGAAATAAAAAATCTTCCTTACATCTTACCAGTGCATTAGTAGGTATAAAACGCACTAAATGTCATTCCATTCACTAATAATATATACTAATATTATTGCATAGTATAATAACAGTATGTGCCAATACTATTCGGTACTGTACTATATATATGTAACCACTGACAAGATAAAT